GCTTAAGGCATTTGACTACTAACCATAAGGCTGGTGGTTTAAACCCACCAGCCACTCCTCAGAAGGAAGGGTGGGCAATCTACTTCTGTAGTGATACCGCCTTGGAAACCCAAGAAGGGGTCACTATGAGTCAGATTTGACTCAACAACAGTGAGTTTGATTTGGTTTGGTTTTACTTTACCAAGCATAATACCTTCTCCAGAGACTGGTCCCTTCTGGCAACAGGATCAACGTACATGAGATGAAGTCAGGCCATTTTCACTTCAAAGGAGCATTCTGCCTGTACTTCTTCCATGACAAATTTGTTCATTCTTCTGAAATTCCATAGTCTTTTCAGTATTCTTCACCAACACCACAATTCAAAGGCATCAGTTCTTTCAGTCTTCCTTATTCATTGTTCAGCTCTTACATGCATATGAGGCAACTGAAAATACCATGATATGGGTTAGGTATACCTTAGCCTTCAACATGACATCTTTGCTCCTTAACACTTTAAAGAGATCTTTTGCAGCACATTGGCCCAATGCAATATGATAGCTGATTTCTTGACTGCTGCTCCCAAGGGTGTTGACTGTGGATCCAAGTAAAATGAAATCCATGACAACTTCAAACTTTTCTCCATTTATCGTGATTTTTCTTGTTGGCCCACTTGTGATTTGTTTTCTTTGTGTTGAGGTGTTATCCATACCAAAGACTGCAGTCTTTGATTTTCATCAGTACGTGCTTCAAGTTATCTTCACTTTCTGTGAGTATGGTTGTGTCACCTGCATATTGCAGGTTGTTAGTGAGTCATCCTCCAATCCTGATGTGGCCTTCTTCATATATTCCAGATTATAGGATTATTTGCTCAGCATACAGAACGAATAAATATGGAGAAAGGATACAACCTGGATGTACACCCTTCCTGATTTTAAATGATGCAGAATTCCCTTGTTTTATTCAAATGACAGCCTTTTAGTCTATGTACAGGTTCCTCATGAGCACAGCTAAGTGTTCTGGAATTCTCATTCTTTGCAGTGTTATCCATAATTTGTTATGATCCACACAATTGAATGTCTTTGCATAGTAAATAAAACACAGGTAAACATCTTTCTGATATTTTTTGCTTTCAGCCAAGATCTACCTGACATCAGCAATGATATCCTTTGCATTTCCATTTGGATATTTAAAAGATATCTCAAACTTATCGAAGACAGAAATTCTAGTCTTTCTCCCCAGTCATGCTCCTATGCTATTCTTCCCCGTTCTTGATATTGCTCAGGCCAGAATCCTTTGTGTAATTTTTGACTACTCTTTTTGCTTAACCTCCCATCCTCTGTCTCCCATAACTCTGTTGACTCTACCCAGAGCTCAGCTATTCTCACCAAACTCATTATCTATCACTACTTTTGCCCAAGCCATCATCATTTCTTGCCCCGTATTGTGGCATGATTCTCCTATAAGTCTTGTTACTTCCACCCTTGCTTTCTGTCGGTTTCTTTTCAGCTTAATGGTCAAAGCAACCTTTTAAGAATATACTTCTGATTATAACAAATCCAAGCTAGGCTCTCCAATGTCCTCTCATATGCAGAGTAATAGTCAAAATTCTTACACAGGACCACAAAGACCTTCACATTCTGGCTACCACTATCTCTTAGATGTCACCCACCATCCCTCACACCCTTGCCCTGGCTCACTTCATTCCAGACACATCGGCCTCTTTGTTGTACCTCAAACATGATGAACAAGGCATCTGACACTCCTTTGTGCTTCACACACTCTTCCTTTCAGAGATGACACTTCCTTCCTGCAGGTCTCTACTCAAACATCACCTTATTAGAAAAGTCTTCCCTATATAACTTAACACCCACAATGAATCTAACTCTTTTTGCTCTTCTTTATTTTTTTCTTTATGGGATTTATCTGACTTACTATTTATTTTATTATCAAATTGTTTATGTTTTTATCCTTAAACAAGAATGCAAATTCCTTTGAAGATCACATTTTTGTCAGTTTTATTCCTCCTTTTATCCCCATAACCTAGAAAAGTACCTGGCCAATATAGGTGCTCAATAAATACAAACAGTTCTTAGATTGTCTGAAAAATAATCAATGTACTTTTTAGGGTGAGAGGAAGAGATATAACTGACCTTTAATCCACCTTCATTTTCTTCATGTTCTTAAAGAATTTACAGGATACCACAAAATAACTATTTCAAAGACAGCATGCCAATCACATACTCAACTAATAAGAAGCTAACAATTGAGATTTTACTAGAAAAGATCTAACTTTTTTTTTTAAAGATTTTGGAAATAAGATAATAAAATTATGCTTAAGGAATACACCATCAACAGTTTTACAATCCAAATGGGCTCTGAAATCTTAGAGATCTTAGACAAATTATTTTGCTTCTTAGGATGTAATTCTTTAGTTGTACATTAATTTTAGGTGAACTTGTCTTTCTCAGGTTTGTCTTGACTGTTAAATGATATAATGTATATGAAAGATGCCAGAAGTTGGTGTATTTGGTATTTATTTTTTTTTTCCTTTTTATTCTTTCAACTTTCTATTGGGACTTGTTCTTCAGAATCTTCTTACTGAGCTTTAGGAAAACAAAACAAACAAACAGAACACACACACACACACACACGTGCCTGTGAGTATGCACACACATATGCACACATACACACACACTAAAAATAAAAAATAAAAAATAAACTTTTATATCTTCCTGGACCTGAGAATAGTGTGTGTAGTGATAAGTAGGTGAGAATTTTCTCTATCATGTATATTAATATCCAATGAAGTAGCAAAAGTGATCACTACTCAGGAACCAGTCTCAGGAATCTGGACTTTCCTGTCCTCCTTCATAAGCATTCATAGAAAAACTCAATGATACAATCCAGAAAATTTTCAAAAGTTGTACTTAATAAAAGACTAGTTGCTGAGGCTGCTTATGTACAACCAAACACCTCATGGAATTTTTCTTAATTTGGAGATTTAGGGTTATGGTTTCATGGAACTTCTCAGTTAATTGGTCTAATAATGTGTTTGGGAGGTGTCCTCATCCTCTTAGTTCACTGTATAGTGGTTAAGGTCTTAAAAGCTTGCAAGTGGCCATTCAAGACACTGCAATTGGTCTCTTATTCCTGGAGCAACAGAGGAAGAAGGAGAGTTAAGAATAGAAGGAGAAAATGAAATGTGTGTCTAATTGCCTTCATCAATAACTGTCTCCTTTGCCAAGAGACCAGAAGAACTGTATGGTGCCTGGATAGGATATAATTACTAGGCATTTCAGTTAAAGATTCTGCAGTAGAATACTTAATTCCAAAAGTGGAAAAATGAAGAACAACATTTAAACTTATCATGGAATCCAGAGTTTTTGGAGCCAGGGATGTGGAATGAATCCCCAAAACTACTGCTCTAAGATTATCTTTAAACTTTAAACCAAAAATATCCCTTGAAGTCATCTTAAAACAAGCAAAAACTTACTTACCTAGTAAAGAATGTCTGTCTAGACTATTATGCTCTTTTAAGGTATAGCATCAAATTGACCACAGCAACTTAAAAGATTAGATAGGAACCTTAGGGAATGATGAGGTTTTTTTTTAACAGGGGAGGAACAACTCAGAAAAACAGGGTGAGAATGGTTACACAACTCAAAGTATGCAATCAATGTCACTTGATTGTACACCTGGAAACTTGAATTGGTATATATTTTTGCTGTGTATATTCTCAACAACTGCAAAAAAACCCCACTATTTTTTAAAATTATGCTAAGCAAAATATATCATACCATGTTAACGTAATTAGACATCTCAAAAACTCTCTTTCTTATTTCCTCTGGATTTTGATTGTACTTTTTGAACTAAAAAAAAAAAAAAAAAGATAAAATATGAGCACTGTGAGGAAGTATTTGGAAGGTTTAAAAGGCAACATTGGTATATATTATTTATCAATTATTATGATTAAGTATTAAGTGCCACAAAAATTGACAGTAATAAGTTAGAAATCAGTTACTTCTTTATTTCTCTAAGTACATTAAAGCATTTTGGGCATAGAAATGTATTGTTTTTTGAATTACTAGTCAATATAAAGGAGCTCTGGTGGTGTAGTGCCTAAGGCATTTGACTACTAATCAGAAGGCTGGCAGTTCAAACCCACCAGCCACTCCTTGGAAAGAAGACTGGGCAATCTACTTCTGTAGTGATATCACCTCAGACAACCAAGGAGGGGTCGCTATGAGTCAAATCTGACTCAACAGCAGTGAGTGTGAGTGAGTCAATATAAAGCTCTAAAGAATTATTCCAAACACATTTTCAGTTATATACTGTAGTTACTGAAGCTGTGCAGAACCAATACAAGGAAGAGCTTATTCTTTCATTTTATTTTTTAAAAAGAATATTAAGTGAATTTAGTACAATAGAGAGGTGAAAGTTTTAGGACTTGAAGTAATGAATTTACCCATATTTTTTAGAACAAGACTTTTCTTTTTGAGATCACACATGTGAACCTTTTTTTAGAAAACCTAATATATGAACACATATTCTTACAAAAGACAAACAATGAATATTACCAAAGATTTGCATTTTAAAAAAACATTACATTCAGTCTTTTATATTTATCACTCTCTGATTAGCTCTAAATTCTAACTTGCAGGTGATTTAATTATTTGATGGAAGATAAAGTGAAAGAGATTTAATCAGAAATAAGTTCAGAACTAGTAAGATAATAAGAAAAGAGCATCATACTGCCAAAAATTCAGTTTATGCATTCTATATCAGTTGTACATATTTGAAAAGGACAAATAGTATCTGTTTAATTATAAATATTAATTTTCATAGGGTTCAGAACAATTTGTAACTGTAGCTCAAATTCATTTTTCTAAAATGATTCAGATCATTCAGTGTCTCTTATAGCAGATAAATTTGTGAAGACAAAGGCTTTAAAAGATGTATTTATCTAGTATAATTACCTCTCCATTATCCAGTACTAAATAATATTCTATATATTTCTTATGTTTCTGAATCTTCTGCTCATTCAATTTCTGAAATTTAAGGAGAAAAATTATTAAGACAAAATCTTTATCAGCAAGAATCATCTGTATATTTCAAATGTGTAAGAGGTTTATTTATGTCTGTGAGAAACTGATGGCAATATTATCATTTCAACTCAAACTCAATGGCTAGGCTTGTATTATACACAGACCATGCTCATGACATTACAACTAAAGGGGACATCAGTAATATTCTAGTCTGACTCCTTTTTATTTTTTTAAAATTTTTATAGTGAGTTGTGTGAAAATTTATAGAGCAAATTCATTTTCCATACAGCAGTTTGTACACATTTTATTTCATGACATTGACTGTAATCCCTACAGTGTAACAGCTCTCTTCCCACTTTCTCCCTGTAGTTACTTCTTCCCTGTGTCCTTATTTCCTATTCATTCCTGCCCCCCATCTATTTACCTGTCCAAACACTATCCTTCTGTTCTCCCATGATTGCTCTTTCTAAAGAGTGTATCTACATGATGTACATGTTCATCTGTCTATTGTTCGGCTGGAAACAACAGAAGTGAGTTCAATTCCAGACCTGAAAGATAACTAGGGGCCATCTCAGGGGTCTTATCAGGTTCTATCAGGCCAGTAAACCTTGTCTTTTTTTTTTTTAATGATTTTGAGTTGTTTTCCACATTGTACTCCCACTTTATCCAGGATCTCTGGCATTGATCCCTTTCTGAGTGGTTGACAGTGGTAGCCAGACACCATATAGTTCTTCATGCCTCATGTCATATAGGCTGAGGATCACATGGTCTACTAGTTCCTTGGACTAATTGTTTCCATGCTTCTTTGTTTTTTTCATTCTACTTTTCTCTGGATGAGGAGAGACCCATTATTGCATCTAGATTGCCACTTGTAAGCTTTTAAGATCTTAGTTGCTACTCACCATAGTAGATATAGAACAATGTTTTTGTGTAGTATGGTATGCCAATTGAGCTTGATGTCTCCTGTGACTATGGTCCCAAGCCCATAGGTCCAACTACTCACTCCCTCAGCGTGGTTGGCTGTGGCCAAGAAGTTATCACAATTTTGCCCCTTGTTAGCTCTGTTATATATCTGGAAATTTTTACAGCACATACCAATACATATGTAGGAATATCGTCTGCCAACTTTATATACGGCCGTGGGTATGTTCCCTTTTCCCTAGACATACCTGATAATTCAGCATGGCTACCCATCTATTTACCCATAGATTATTGTTTGTTATCACTCACAGAGCGACTGAAATGGAATAGAACGAGGGAGATGTGGTTTTTGCTTGATGGGTAGAATTCAGTAGTACTATTTCTTATCATTTTAAGTTTGTGATAAGAAGCCCTGGGGTTACATGGGTAAGTACTTTGCTGCTAACTGAAAGTTCAGTGCTTCAAACCACCACCTCTCCAGGGGAGAAAAGATCTGGCAATCTGCTGCAGTAAAGATTATAGCCTGTAAAACCCAATGAGGCAGTTCTACTGTTATATAGGATCACTATGAGTCGGAATCTACTAGATGGCACACAACAATTTTGTCATATTAGATGTGCAACCAGATATATCAAGCAGGTTATTATAATACTTGGGTCTTGAGAGGAGAGACCAAGGCTGGAGATATATATCTGATAGTAACTATCACAGTATAAAAAAAAAAAAAAAAAAAGTTGATGTCAAGTTGACTTCTACTTCTAGTGACTTGATGTGTGTCAGAATAGAGCCATGCTCCATAGGGTTTTCAATAGCTGATGTTTTTGGCTTTTTTTTTTTTTTTTCCAAAATGCCTCTGAGTGGACTTGAAGTGTCAACCTTTCAATTAGCAGCCAAGGCTATTAACCATTTTCACTACACAGGGACCTCAACTAAATATATAAACCAAAAACCAAACTCACTGCCATGCAGTCAATTCTGACTCATAGCAACCCTACAGAACAGAGTAGAACTGCCCCATAGGATTTCCAAGGCTGTAAAATCTTTATGGAAGCAGACTGCTGGTAGGTTCAAGTAATTGTGGTAACTTTTTTGTTAGCTGCTCAATGCTAACAGTTAGCAGCCAAGTACTTAACCATGCACGCAATAGCTCCTTAACCAGCACTTATATAAATAATAGTGAGTCAAAATTGTCTTGGTAGTTCAGTAGTAAAATTCTTGCCTTTCATGCTAGAGGTTTGTGTTAGATTCCTGACCAATGGACCTCAAGCATAGCCACCATTTGTCTGTCAGTGGAGGCTTGTGAGTTGCTATGATGTTGAACGGGTTTCAGTGGAACTTCCAAACTGGACAAACTAGGAAGAATGTCCTGACTCTCTACTTCCAAAAAATCAGCCGATAAAAATCCATGAGTTGGATTTTTCAATGTTAATAGCTAACAACATTGGTACATACATAGTACCTCCATTTTATCAATTTGTCATGTTGTAGTAGCTTACATGTTGCTATAATGCTAGAAGAAGCCATGATACCAGTATTTCAAATAGTATCATGGTCACCCATAGTGACCTGTTTCAGTGGACCTTCCAGACTTGGAAGAAAGGTCTGGTGATCTACTGAAAATTAACCAATGAAAACCCTATGGCTCACAACAGAATATTATCTGATATAATACTAATAATGTAGGAGCAGGCGATGTTTTGTTCTGTTATACATGGAGATACCAATGGTCAGAGCCCACTAGACAGCAACTAGCAACCATGGTAACACCTATTTCAAAAAGGTATAGGACAAGATGAGACTACTTAAGAGGAATGTGTCGATAAAGTAAAGAAAAGGACCAAGGATTGATTGAGTTTTGTGGTCACCCAGAAGAGGAATACCAGCAAAAAGAAAAGGAACTGAGAAGGAATAGCACTTGTGATATAGGAGAAAAACCAATATAATATGATGTAATAACAAGGTATTTCCACATGATTATAGAAGAATTGTGGCAGACGTAACCAGGAGATGGACATTCTTGGGAAATATAAAAACTATAACTAGGAGTGATTTCTCTGGGTGTTCAGATGTCATCACAGAATTTGAACCCACAGCAAATTGAACCTACCAGAATTTTCATTTAGATCAATTCAGCCTAGGGTGTATAGGTGTTAAGAACATTTACAAGAGACAACTGGATCATGAAAGAAGTGAAAGTAATAATGAAAAAATTATTTTCATATACACTTCAGAGTTTTGAAAACAAAATCATACTCATTCTTATTCTGTAGATGGAAGCAACTTTCCATACATGAAAAAGTATTGTGGTGCAGTACATTACTCAGTGTGGCTTTTCTAGCCATAAGTCTTTGTAAACTCCAAGGTGGGATTTGCTATGAGCAATTGAGGAGCTTCTGATTGCTAAAGTTGTCCACCTGGAGTACTTCTGTTGGAAGTGGCACAAAACAATGTTCTGGGAGGTTCCCACTCTCTCTCAGGTGCTTAGAGTTCTGATGCTATGATTGACTAGTTTGACACTCTGCCGGGCTCAAAAGGAGGCCTCCTAGAGGCATAACTCTCTCTGACTGCTGGTTGAGGAAGATGTGCTGCTGAAAGAGACATGCTCTCCTGAAAGAGACACGTGCTGCTGGGAAAGAGACACAAGAGACACACTTTGCTGAGTAAGACACCCAGGGACATGCACTGCTGGGGGAGAGACTGTGAGAGACTTGGCTGAGAGACGGTGGGCTGGAAGGGAAACTAAGCATTTTTTCCTGAACTCAAATTGTAGTCTGCTGCTTCCCTAATAAAACTTATAATCTGTGAGTTCTGTGTGGCCACTGAAGCGAATTATTGAACCCAGGAGAGAGGTGGTGGGTGCTTTGGGAGGAACGGTTGGAGAAAGGGCTGGAGGGAGGCAGCATGTCTGGCCTCGCAGAAATAGGCCTTGGGCTATTTATGGTGATTCTCTCTTCCTCTTGTGGGATTAGAGGAGGTCAGAACATGTGGCCTCCTTGCCATTTTTGCAAGTATTCTAACTTCTTGTGGGCACATCCTATGTCCATTTTCTTCACTGCTCTATTGAAACATCTATAGCAGTATTTTAAAAGAAATGTGTTGAATTAGTTCAAGATAGTAGATATTTTATCTTAAAATGATAATAATACATATTTGTTGTGGTAGTTAAGTTTGTGTGTCAACTTGGCAGGGCCTGGTTGAGTGGCTGGGGAGCTGGATGTAGTTCTTCCCTTTGGTAAGACTGGTAATTAACTACATGGTAGAAAGTATGGGAGCAGCTGAGTATTTGCTTTAGGGATGTGGTTTGCTTCCTGTATATAAGAAGCAGCTTTGGGAATGCTCTCTAGCTTATGGCACACTTGAACCCTGCATATCATTGTTTAGCAGCCTGCCATGCTCTGCCGACCTTGGGACTTTCAGTAGACTTGAATTAATGGCCTGCCATGTGGTTTGGTAGCATCAGGACTGTGCCTTTTTACTTGTTTGTCATCCTTGGGTTTGTCAGTCTCAGCAGCCATCAGCTGCCTGAGGGAAAAAAAGCCTCTAGCTTCAGTGGGCCAGGAGCAGGAGGAAAGCTGAAGTCCAAGGTTGAGGGACTTTCACCCAGCTCCTAGAATCTGGCACTTTGAACTAGGACTTACAGCCTCCACACTGTAAGAGAATGAACTCCTATTTGTTAAGGCCATCTCACTTGTGGTATATTCCTGCCAGAGTGGCACCAGAACATGTGTGTTGTAGGTTACAGAAAGTATTGTCACTTGTTTCTTGAGGGCTGGTGTAATAGTTATATTTATTTTTAACCCTGCACATTGTTGATCATTGTATTTGAACCTTAAGTACATGTTCAATAAATTATCATCATTTTACCAAAACCTTTATGGTTAGTGTCTCTAAGCCCTATTAATTTGAAAAATTACTGTAAAATTTCAGTCATCTGTAGGTGCTAAGGGCAGCCAGCACAGAACATTAAAAGCATTGCAAAAAAAAAAAAAGAAAAAAGGTATACATACAACCAGACTGGTGGCAGGTGGGACTGCATTCTTCCTAGATCCATGTGCCCATAACACATCATCCATCCCACAAGTACTGTTAGCCTTCTTTTCATCAGGGTCATACTTGAAGAGTGCATGCCCTTGTCCATCCTGATTTGTGGGGATTAATGGTTCAATGAAGTATCTTTGATCTCCCTGACTGAAGTAGCCTCTGAAAACATAAAAACTCAGACTTCTTAACAACATGTTCCTGATTTAGGGTTTTATAGACTTATACACTCCAAAAGAGGACCTCATGGAATTCCTAGTCAACCCTCCAAATAGTTCAAAATCACAAACAAACAGCAAAAAACTAGAGTGAAACATTACAGCTGAAAATACCCTTAGAAAGTGCCAAAAATTATTTTCTCTGTGAAGAAATGGGACCTTTTGGGGAGACATACTACTTCTCTACTGCCATATAACTAACCCACATCAGTGTTAACATTAGAATGGAATTTCCTCTGTCTCAGTCCAGTGTTCTTAAAATTCCCATGTAGTGTCTGTTCTCTGCACTGGAAATGGCAGAGACTTTGGAAGCTTGTAGGCAAAGATTCAAATCTTGAGTTTATCATGTGTTAGGTGGGATACCACAGGAAAACTTCTTACACTCATAGCCTCAGTTTCTCTATCTATAAAATGGGAATAATCATATCTACTGAAGGAAATAATATGTAAAGCATGTGCTCAACAAATATGTCTTTCCAATTGTCTCTGCTGAGGTCCTGAGCAGAGTCATTCAAATAATATTTACAGAGCACCCATCACTCATTACATATTGAACTAAGGGCAAATTGTTAAAGAGTGTCAGGATCTCTGTCCTCATGGGGTCTGTTCAAATGAGGAAGATAAGGAGATATTATCAATTAAAAAAAACAAACCCAGTTCCCATAAAGTCAATTCCAACTCATGGCAACCCATGTGTGCAGAAAGAACTTCATCGGGTTTTCAAGGCTGTGATCTTTCAGAAGGACATTGCCAGGCCCTTCTTCCAAGGCCCCTAAGTGGGATCAAATCACTAACTTTTTGAATAGTATCTCAGCATTTAACCATTTGCATTGCCTAGGGATTTCATATTATCAATTGAGCTTGATAATTATTGAAAATGTAGAGTTGAGAGGGAAGAAGTCATCAAGGAACATAGATGTCTGTTATTGACATGTTGTTGGTTGATTATGCTTATCATTGAGGTGGGGAATATTGGGAAAATATCAAGTTTGGAAGAAAATAATTAGCATGATCTGAGTAGTATTGAGACTGAGAATTATTTAAGTTATCCAAGTGGACATAGAGATGCGTGGAAACTCATTAACATAAGAAAGAAACGGATACTATAAGCATGGATAAGACAAGAGAGATGGAGGAAAGGAGGTCTAAATCTCTAAATACTGAGATTCAAATATTGGGACTAAAACCTATATCTTAAAAACAAGAAAATAAACAAATGAAAAGCATTATCCAGAAAAATATTTTATCTTTCAAATTTCAAAAATTTCAAGTCCTTAGGATTCATACTCAACTACAACTAAATGAATTATATTTTTATTATTTAGGTTTGGGCAAAAGCTCACAATAATCACAGAGAAATACGAAAACATCCATGAAGTCTTACCTTAAACCCCCACATGTGCTGATGCTAGCATCAGAAACTTTTTCATTAATAATGTGCCCTTGGTAATAACAATCATCCTAATTAAAAGAGAAAAGAGATTAGTAAAGGCAAGTGTGTGTGGTTTTTAGAACCACTCCTAAATTTGAATTTGAAATGTAGAAATAGGCTCTACAACACTTTTGAATTATTTTCTGTTGAACAACAGTCAACAGAGAAATTTCTTTCAAAAAGCTTTTTTTTTTAAATGTTAAAAACTTTGATTTTTAGTCTGTGATCCAAAAATACTAGAAAATAATAAAATATAAGTGTTGCCAAAGTAGGATGGTAGAGTTAAATATTGCTTGGAAGAAATAAACTTATGTGTGAATTTAAACCTTGATTACCCCAAATATTAGACATTCATTGTTACTATTGTCTAATTGCTCATTAACATTTTTCTAGCAAAAGCCTGCAAACTCTCTTTCTGTTTGGATTATTCAGGTTGTGTTTTCACATCTTGATTTATTCAAAGAGTTCCACTAGAGTCTCTAGATCAGCCCAACATTCCTGGGCTCCATTTGGAGCAAATGCTCATCCTAACACTTTTCATATGAGTATCCAATCAAGGAAACCTTTCTACTTTAGGGCAGAAGGGTAGTTAGCCCATGTAAACCTTTGTATCATTGTCATAGAAGACAATTCTTGATTTCTAATAGAGAACGGAGCTCAGGAAAGAAGGCAATAAAAAACTACACCATCTCCCCGCTGCACACTGGTGTCTGCTCAATATGAGCAAAGTGGGCCTCCGAAAAGAGTCAGAATTGGAAACTGTTCAAAGAAAGAATGAAATTGTTCAATTCTTCCATTTAGGAAATAGTCTTGAGTTTGAGGCACCACATAATTCAGATAGCTGATTGGCATTGACTAAGATCACCAGATGTGTTTAACTCTTCACTCCTCTGACTAAAACAACAAGCTTCTTCTGCCTGCCCTTGAACAGGGAGCCTTGAAGGCTGGGGAGGGTTACCACAGCTGTCAAGGTGTGCCTTTGTTCTTGACAAATCTTCATAAAAAACTGGGAGGGTTGATTAGTAATTATTACTGCTGAAAAGAGCACCAGGGCTATAAATTCAATGGCTGGCAAGGATGCTGCCTGTGAGTCACACTCAAATTAGCAATGAATGTAGGAGGGACTCTTATACCTTTATCTGTGGGCTGGTGGTAACCTCCTTCCCAGTGGAATTATAATGTGTTTCTGTGTAGCCTGGTGCAAGGAGATCCCTGGAGAGGAAGAACACAAACAAAAACACTCATGGTTACTCCAACTAATTACAAAGTCCAGCAATCAAAGCCTAAGATTTCACTGGATATACATGAAATTTTTAATTCCAGGGCTCTTCTTCCTTACCTTTCGAGACAAGTGCAAGCATGAAAAGGGTGCTTAAATGGAAAGACTGAGAGAGGCAGGGACATTCCTGAGTAGTATGAAACAATATCTTTTTCTTTATAGAACTTGCTTACTTGTCAAAGAGAAATTTGAGAAAGATAGTGTCAGAGAAGACTGAGGTCAATAAAAGTTAATGAAACTCTCCTCATTAGTTTAGGATAACTGCATTTGGCCCTCAGTCATATTCAATTACCAGTGACTATTAACAATTGTAGCAGGAGAAAGCTTACTGGAAATTGACTTGAATACAGTAGCTAGGGTCTTTCCACCATTATTTCATTTACCTACCAGAAAACAAGAGTTTGAATATATTTTTAAAAGAGGAGGGAATCAGTGGTTTAAATGCACAACTGCTCTACAGGATAAAGATGAGACAGTCTGCTTCCATAAAGATTTACCGTCTTGGAAATGCTATGGTGTAGTTCTACTCTCTGTCATATAGGGTCACTATGAGTTGGAAGGAGATAAGGAATTAACTAATTTATATCAGGGCAGATGGCTTTTGGGAAGGTCAGAACTGGTAAGGACAGACAGAAGGTGGTGGCAGATGACATTTTAGAGGGTTGGAACTGGTAAGGACGGCCGTGAGGCAGGAGTGGAGCAGTTTGTAACAGCTAAGGGAGATGAATTTGTCTGTCAGCTTATTGTCTTGTGATGGCTTGTGTGTTGTTGTGAGGCTAGAGGCTGTACCACCAGTGTTTCAAGTGCCAATAGGGTTAGCCATGGTGGACAAGTTTCAGTGGAGCTTCCAGCCTTGGACAGACTTGAAAGAAGGAAGAGGTCATCCATTTCCCAAAGAACTGGTCAATGAAAATCTTATGAATAGCAGTGAAACACTGCCTGATATATTACTGAAAAATAGCCCTGAAACACTGTCTGATATAATGCCAGAGGATGAGCCCCTCAGGTTGGAAGGTACTCAAAATATGACTAGGAAAGAGCTACCTCCTCAGAATGGAGCTGACCTTGATAATATGTGTGGAGTAAAGCTTTTCCAACCTCTTTTGCTTATGTGACACAACTCAAGAAAAAAAGAAACAGCTGCAAATATCCATTAATAATCAGAGAACAGGTAACATACAAAGTATGAATCTATGAAAATTGAAAGTTACCAAAAAATGAAATGGAATGCATCAAGATCTATATCCAAGGCATTAGTGAGCTGAAATGAACTTGTTTTGGCCATTTTGAATCAGACATATGATCTACTATACCAGGAATGACAAATTGAAGAGGAATGGCATGGCATTCATCATCACAAAGAATGTTTCAAGATCTATCCTCAAGCACAATGCTGTCAGCAATAGACTAATATCCATACACCTATGAGGAAGACCAGTTAATATTACTATTATTCAAATTTACACACCAAACATCAAAGCCAAAGATGAGGAAACTGAAGATTTTTGCCAACTTCTGCAATCTAAAATTGACCAAACATGCAATCAAGATGAGCTAATTATCACTGGTGATTGGAATGCAAAAGTTGGAAACAAAGAAGAATCACTGGTAGTTGGAAAATATGGTCTTGGTGATAGAAGTGACCCTGAAGATCACATGATGAAATTTTGCAGGACCAATGACATTCATTGCAAATACCTCTTTTCAATAACACGTGGACTTTGCCAGATGGAATACACAGGGATCAGATTGACTACATTTGTGGCAAGAGGTGATGCAGGAGCTTAATATCTGCAGCCAAAACTAGGCCAGGAGCTGATTGTGGAACAGACCATCAACTTCTCATATGCAAGTTCAAGTTGAAACTGAAGACAATTAAAACAACTCCACAAGAGCCAAAATATGAACTTGATTTTATCCTTCCTGAATGTAAAGACCATCTAAAGAATAGAGTTGATGCATTGAATACCAATGACTGAAAAACAGAAGAATTGTGGGATGATATCAAGAACATCATCCATGAGGAAAGCAAAAGGTCATTAAAAGGACAGGAAAGGAAGAAAAGACCAAAGTGGATGTCAGAGGAGACATTGAAACTTGCCCTAGAATGGAGACTACGTAAAGCAAATAGAACTGACAGGATAAAAGAGCTGAACAGAAGATTGCAAAGAGTAGCTCTAGAAGACAAAGTCATTTATTATAATGAAATGTCTAAACCCTGGAGTTAGAAAACCAAAAGGGAAGAACATACTCAGCATTTCTCAAGCTAAAAGAACTGAGGAAAAAAATTAAGCCTTGGATTGCAATATTGAAATATTCCATGGGCAATATGTTGAATGATGCAGGGAACATCAAAAGAAGATGGATGGAATACAGAGTCACTATACCCAAAAGAATTGGCAAATGATCATCCATTTTATGAGGTGGCATATGATCAAGAACAAATGGTACTGAAAGAAAAAGTCAAAGCTGCACTGAAAGAATTAGCAAAAACCAAGGCTCCAGGATTTGACAGAATACCAATTGAGATGTTTCAACAAACAGATGCCCCACTGTAGGCACTCATTGAGCTATGCCAAGAGATTTGGAAGACAGCTACCTGGCCAACTAACTGGAACAGATCCATATTTGTACCCATTCCAAAGAAAGGTGATTCCACAGAATGTGGAAATTATCGATGATATCATTAATATCACATGCAAGTAAAATCTTACTGAAGATAATTCAAAAACGGTTGCAGTAGTATGTTGAAAGGGAATGTCCCAAAATGCAAGCTGGATTCAGCAGAGAATGTGGGAAGATGGATATCATTTCCTATGTCAGATGGATCTTGGCTCAAGGCAAAGATTACCAGAAAGATGTTTACTTGTGTTTTATTCACTATGCAAAGGCATTTGGTTATGTGGATCATAACAAATTGTAGATAACATTGAGAAGAATAGGATTCCAGAACACTTCATTGTGCCCATGAGGAACCTGTACACAGATCAGGAGGCTGTTGTTTGAGCACAACAAGGGGATACTGCATGGCTTAAAATCAGGAAGGGAGTGTGTCAGGATTATATCCTTACACCATACTTATTCAAATTGTATGCTGAACAAATAATCTGAGAAGCTGCACTATGAAGAAGAACATGGCATCAGGACTGGAGGAAGGCTTATTAACAACCTGTGATATGCAGATGATACAACTTTGCTTGCTGAAAGTGAGGATGACTTAGAGCACTTACTCATGAAAATTATAGACTAAGTCTTCAGTATGGATTACACCTCAACATAAAGAAAACAAAAATCCTCACAACTGGACCAATAAACTGCATCATGATAGATGGAGAGAAGATTGAAGTGTCAAAGACTTCATATTGCTTGGTTGTATAATCAATGCCAATTGATGCAGCAGTCAAGACATATTGCATTGGGCAAATCTGCTGCAAAAGACCTCTTTCAAGAGCTAAAGAGCAAAGATATCTCCTTGAAGACTAAGATGTGCCTAACCTGAGCCATGGTATTTTCAAATGCCTCATATGCATGTGAGAGTTGGACAATGAATAAGGAAGACTCAAGAAGAGTTGATTCTTTTGAGTTGTGGTAATGGCAAAGAATGCTGGAAGTACTATGGACTGCTAAAAGGGTTAACAGATCTGTCCTGGAAGAAGGGCTGCTGGAATGCTCCTTGGAAGCCAACTTTCTCACCTACTTTGGTCATGTTGTCAGAAGGGACCATTCTCTGCTTCATAAAGTGAAGGGTCAACAAAAGAGGGGAAGGCCCTCAAAGAGGTGGATAGACACAGTGGCTGCAGTGATGGGCTCAGGGATAGTAGGGATAGTGAGGCTGTCACAGGACTGGGCAGTGTTTCATTCTGTTGTACATAAGGTCACTATGAGTTGCAGACAACTCCATGGCACATAACAACAAAAAAAAGTTTATATTGAGTGCTCTGGGGCGTAGTGCCTAAGGCATTTGACTGCTAACTAGAAGGCTGGCAGTTCAAACCCACCAG